TTGTACACATGACTATCTCTACAGGATACATTCTTAGATATGGAGTTGCTATGCTAAAGGATATGAACATTTAAACTTTTGAGAAATAACTACCACGTTGCTACAATATGTATTTAATATTATATTTGTTTCACAGTACCACCCCCTCTAATGTCCTAGAACACCTCGCTTTGACTACTTTTATGTCTTGATTTGATAGTACAGCTTTTGCCGAGAAAAGATTTGTCGACATGCATCCTCTTCCATTGCTGACATTTAGTTTTAGCTTCCTTCCCAAACCACATGTTGTACTTGCTCCTTCTCTGTTTACTATTCTGGCCATAACTCTTAGGGGAGTCACACTCTTAATCAAGGCTCCTTGCCCTTCCTGGAAAACAGAGGTCAGAAAAAGCAAAGAACAAAAACAGAACAAAACATCCCATAGTTAAGTAACATAATTTTTATTCTGAAGGAAAATGTGCTCAATCGTTTTATACTGATACAAAGACAATGATCTCATATGTTTTCTTTGCCTTAAAATGTTTAGGTTGCTTTAAAATGTCTAATGAAATTCTTTCTTGCAGATAAAACATTAAGTACAGACTTTAAAATTTTCAATTAAAGTGCACTCAGGTTAGACAATTTTTAAAGTAATAACATAGTCTACTGTATCAAGGACAAGACAGTTCTAAAAGGTGTTGTTTATCTCAGCTGTCTTCAGTCTCCTCAGTAACTTCCTAAATTAGGAAGCAGTGACTGAGAATGCGTTACTGGAGTTAGGTGAAGACAGGAAACTATTTTATTTCCTTTTACTAAGATCCCTTCAGGAAACTGGAGCACTCACACATTATTATGAAGAAGGAAGTAAAGTGGGTCAAAATGGGATCAAGATGGTCAGAGAGGAGGATAGGGGCCAGTGAACTAGACAAGAAGTGGATTAGGCCTGAACTAACCAATGAGGAAGGGGAGAGATATTAGTAACAATGACAAAAAAAAATCAAAGCACAAAAAAATTAAAATATATACGGTTTATTTGAGCAGTTACTCTGTATGCATATAGGGAAAACTTTCTGTTCACAAAAACAGGATGGCTCCTCTTGGGCTAGTTCCAATAAGCTTTTAAGAAGGAAGGGAGAAAAAGAGTAGAAAGTCTGGGTGTGGCACTGTGGGTTAATGTGTCAGATTGCAATGTCATTTGAACTGCAAGGTCGGTGGTTCAAGCTCACCAGCTGCTCCTTGGAAACCCTATGCAGGGTCGCTATGTGTC